AAGGGTGCTCCAGGATGAGGTACCTCAAGTGGGAGCACACTCTGGAACCATGTAACTACAAGGGTTGGGAGGGAGAAGTTCACACTAAGGCTACAGGACACTTCTATGTATACAGACCATCAAAGGCTAGTCCTAATGAAGCTTGACCTTATATTCAATATGTTGTGCTCACTAGTTCCTTCATGTATTTCCTCCCCTTTCCTCCACTGAATTATTCTCCAAGTTCCCTAGAAAGTGTTCTGAGTATCTACATGCCTTGGACCATGATCTGAACTGGCACAACCGCAGAAGTATTTAACAAGATTCAAGTCAAATACAAGGTATGGACATTTCTTACTTCCCTTGGCCATGCTAAATAACTCTGGATAAGAGCCAACTGTTTGTACCCAACAGCAGGAGACCTATCATCTATAAAATTCATCTACAGCAGTGCAACTGTGCAGAGAAATCCATACATGGGGGAGTTTACTTAGGTATCCAAACCAATTTTCAGTGGTTGCATCTGTCATTCTAAATTAAAATTAGAAGTTGCTGCAAAATAACTTCAGAATAATGTTTCTGGATTTGATAGCAGTAGAAATCGTAATCCATCCGATCATTTCTAATGCTCACATGGAAAAATTGCAATGCAAAAAAAAAAAAAAATGGAAGAGAGAAAGCTGCCTTTGTATCAGCACCAGACCTATCCTATTTTAGTACACTACCAGTACTATTCTGTCAATAAAATTGGCAAGCAGAGCACAAGCAGAGAACTACGCTACCGTAATTTTTAGGATTTCTTGAAGGTTTGTCAATAAGGTATTAGAAATTTACTCAAGTTTGAAATGCAAGATACTTTTACACTCCAATTCATGGTTTCTACTTTGGAACTGCAGAACAGCGAGCCACACAAAGTCACACACTGATGCCCAAATCCTGCCTGTTGCTCCGCACTGTGCATGTACATGTAAGGCCAGCAAGGCTACTTTGATTCCATGGACGTGTTTGCCTGTACAGAGAAAGGACGTAAAGACATTTTTTCCTGAAACTTGCTTGCAGGCTCAGGTCTTCTTCAGTATTCCTAACCAAGACAAAAGTACGGCCGTTTAATAAAACATGGATAAAATCCTACAATGTGACAGATCAACTATAAAAGCACAGACTGAAATGAGGACAACCTCTAAGCCATCAGAATTTTCTTCATGAGACCAGATTTTTTCAGTGTCATACTTAGCACGCAGAGATTTTCATTTTTCACAGAGCTCTAAGGAATTTGACAAGTAAACCTACTACAGTTAATACCATTTTAATCTTTATGCATAATAATCACAAACCTACATTGTACAGGTTTGATAATAATAACTGACAGCTGAATTTGAAGTATATATTTTGTTCCAAAATAGATGCGCATGTAGGTGGATGTGTTGTAGAAATATAATATACTACATGGCTGAGCCTAGATAAGCTGGTGATTCTCAAACGTCAGCATCATCTGCACAAAGTTAGGGTTGAAATCTGCTCTCTTAAATACCTGTTCATCCTTCTTATGACAGTTTCTCTAAAGAGCTCAGTGAATAGTAGATAAAATAAGTATCTAATGAGGTATGACAGCAACTCTGATGGAGCTAAACAGCAGAGATCTGAATCCTAATAAATAAATGAAGTAAAACGTTTACTGCCAGGAGCTATGTCAAGTTAGCCATAGGAAACTGTAGCTCTGCAGCTGGAGAAGGGCGATACTCTGCAAGCCAGAGAAGCAATGGAACTCCTCCAGCTTTGATTATTTATGGTGTGATGATGAAGGAACAATTTTCCATGTGAGGAACAGCTTTAAAGTTGAACACTGAAGCTGAAACAGAGATTTAATGAAAAATCAGAAGGGAACAAAACTACAGCTACAAAAACAATAACATTCACTTTAACAATTTAAAAATATAATTTATGTGCAGAACCAGATGTTAACTTGTCCAGCTTCATGGTAAACAGAAAACTGTATTCATAACAATCCTTCTGTTGGACAACAAAAATGCACTATTTAACGTTGCTGTAAATAACGCTCACTTCATACCTCCAAAAGTTATCAATACGAACACAAATGCAAACCAAACACATCTTAAACAAAGGACACATCTGTACTTAATGCAAAGCTATTTTCAAAAATCCCAATCATTCATAATCTGGTATAATCATAACAGCCTGAAACATAAGAATGCTTTCAGGCTCAGAAAAAAAGGCTTCTAATTTTAAACATTTATGAGGATGCTGAAAAGTGTCTTAGAACCATGCTTCAGGCTTTAAATTGCTGAAAGCTGAGATGCCTTTACTGATTTGGCCTGGACTAGACAAAGGGAAAGAAGCACAAAAAAAAGACAAAAAGACTTTACAGGAAAATTCCCATTTAAAAAAGAAAAGCAACCCACTTCTTCCCAAACCTCCTTACTCCCACCATCGTTGCACCTCCCTCCCTTTACAGGAAAGGGAGCCACTCTTCTTGCCTCCTCACCACCACCAACCAACCCGTCCACATCACTGGCTCTGATGCGCCACCGCTTTTACAAATACTTTTTGGAAACAGTTTTGAAAGACAAATCTGCCATCACTGGTTGTTGTTCCTGAACAGGAGGGACTCCATCTCAGAGCTGCATTAATTTCTGTTCATTTTAAACTGCACTGGGGGATGGGTGATTTTGCAAAAAAGGTGATTTAATGTCCGTTCTAAATAATGAACATGATCAATCCTTTTTGACGTTTTTTTCCTCAGCTCTTAAAATGCATGCTTCATGCTGGGAATGAACTTCCCTTTGACATATTATAACTATGGAAAAGAGGGATTGTTCTCACGGTTCTGTTTCAGGGAAAACAACACGCTGGTTGATTTTGAAAGTTAAAGGATTAAAGTTGTGGGGGGAAAAAAACGTGCTTTAATTGCAAACACACTCTACTAAGTTAAATATAGTCTCAGTTTGATATGAAACACTGGCTTTAAAATTACCTATTCCTTTCAAAGTTTGCCATACGTTCTCCTCCATTTACCTAGTGAAAATAAATATGAATATATTGTATTAAAAGATGAGTGTCAAGAATAAGAACAAGTAGTATTTTTAAAGTAGTTCAGCATACAAAAGCAATATATGAAAGCAAAGAAACAACCACAAGTATGTATTTATAGCAACAGATAGTAGGAAGGAAGTTTTGAAAACCCACAGGGATTCTTCCACCTTAGCAAGCACCTATACAGTTCTATGAGTGTTTTCATTTTGTCTTTTATTGTTCTTGGCTTCAGTCTTATAGTCCAAATCCAGGGCAAAGTACCACAAAACAAGAAATTATATTCACACCTATTAGCTCATCAAAGCTGTCTTTACTGTCTAAAATTAAAACACGTACACAAAATATTGCAACAGCTTCTGGAATCTCACTCAGAAAACCCAATATTTTTGGATATCTTCTCATGTTCTCTTCGCCACAATTTTTGCAAAATGGTGGGAGGTGACCCAGGACATTTTAGGAACGACTCTTTCATCATGGCAATCCCTCAATTACTGTGTGACCACAAGAGAAAATGAATGTAGTACTGTAGGGACAGTACTGGTGTGTTTTTCAGTTTGCCCTCTGATGTGCTCTGATTTCTGTTCAAGAGTGATGTAGTGATTTATGACACTGTCTCCATTATCGCTCCCAAAATAATTCAGAGGTACATAAACCTTTAAGTAACAGCCGTTTAAATGACAACTTTAAACCAGATTCAATGGCTTCAATGACCTTTTCATCAAAACCAAGCTCCAGAACTCTATCTCCTTACAGTCTGAACTGACTTTCTCCCTTGGACATGTGCTGAAACGATCCCCCACCAGGCCTGCTCTCTAGCAGGGGGACACAGAATCCACAGTTCCTGCACCACCTGCTGCTACAGCTTTGCATCCTGCTCAGGTAACTGTTCCTGGCTCCTGACACTGGAAAGTGAAGGTGCTGCATGCAATTCCTCTAGTGCAGGAAATCCAGCAAGACAAGTGAAAAAAACTCATTACCGGTGCCACAGACTTAGAAGTGAAGGAACAATTTCCCTTTAAAGCCACAGACTGGGTCATCTGCAGAAGCACAACAGCTACACACTGAGAGCATTAAAGGCAGAGCGTGAATGGTGTTAGCAGGAGTGCTGCTGTCACGGGAGGTGCAAGGAAAATGCTGAAAGTTCACTGTGAAACATGCAGACTATTGCAGAATGTCAGAGTTCTCAGGAGTAACCAGCTCAGATTACTATTTTTAAAACAAACTTGCTTTTTTCAGTCAAGCTCTGAGGGTTCTATCTTCACGGGTGGCAATTAACTCGTCTTCAATACAAAGAGCTACAGGCAAAACAATATACGTAGGTTTTGCCCTTTAAAAATCCAAAGATCCTTGCTATTACTAGGACAGAACATAACACCTAAAACACCTGCCGAGAACAATCCTGCAAGCAATCAACAGGGCTGAAGACATTGGAATTAAGAAAACAAGAATTAACAGCTCTCTTAAATCATAGATTATAAAGCTCCTGAATGCTGGCTGCACATATGCACATTCAAATGATCCAGAGAACTGCATGGAGTTTATTTAATATTTTTTTCAGCTGAGACTGAAATTACACTTCCAGTCTGGTTTGTCATTTCATTCAAAATTGATATTACTTCATATAAACTGATTTATTTCTGTGTGTGTAGTATAATTTGACTAGAAGATCTTTTCCCTTGATGTTAACCATTAGTATTGAGTATATGCTGCTGTTTAGTTCCTCAAGCACGAATTTTAAGTACAGTGTTTCATAATTGGTTTGCATGTACCCATCTGGAATGATACTGGATAAAAAAATTTTCCATTTAATAAAATAAAGATTAGCATAACTCAAAAAAACCCCAACAAACCCACCAAACAAACCACTGAAGTGATACATCTCTTGAGTTGATTTAGCAACACAACAAAAAATCCCCATAAACAATTTGGCAAGGTAGCTGACGTTTTTCATAGCATGGTAGACTTGAGCTTCAACGTTTATCATTATTAGAAAGTTCAATAACTCCTTTTTTCGATATCAAACTAAAAATTGTCCACAAAGTGGAAGAGTCTTCACAGTTATGATGACTCTGCCAATGATTACAAAGATCCTCTTTTCTTCCAAATAGTTGTTTGCATAAAATGCAGTTATAGCCTGCTTTAGACCAAATTTCTATTTTTTTGCTTGGTGTACCAAAACCTACAGTTTGTATCTCCTTGGCTGCTTCACTGCTTCCTGACTGAGCCAGTTCACTTTTAGGTAACGTATCGACATTATTTTGATGGTGAAAGTACATCTGTCTTTTCATCTTTGGAAAAGCATAAAACTCCTCCTCGTGGGCAGTGATTTTTGCTAAACATCTTCTTTCGTTGCGATGTTTCCAGAAATGGGTTGTGTGTTTCATCAGTTCCCCCTTAGCTCCTCTATTTCCTTGCAAAACCCCTTCCTTCACTCTTCCCTGGATCTCTTCTCCATGACAGCACAGTAAGTGAAACTTCATTTCACCAAAAGACTGTGCAATAAACTGGCATCGACCACATTTGATCTGTAATTTCACTCCTCCTGGGTTATGGAATAGGTCCTCAAAATTGCACTTATTTCCCCTGTTAAAAAAAAGGAAATACGAACTATTTCAGTATTAGTCATGCACAGAACAGAGATGGCAATTTTTGGCCCGCTACATTCCAAGAAGAGATGACATTCATGAAACATTCTTTTGATTAAAACAGGCACTGTTGCTACAGTATCTGATTTATTTGGAACACATACACACAAAAAAGAGAGAAATAAAATAATAATGCTAATTACGAAACAACTGTAACAAAATGTTCAACACTGTTGAGTTTCAGAATTGCCTACAACATAGCCTTGGTAGAAATAATCATTTAACAACACTAACCTTTTAATAAAATGTTAACATTGTTTTTTTAAGTTCTTGATTTAGTGAGGCAAAACAAATACTTCTAGATCTGTGCTAGAAAAGCAAAAATGAGTATTATCTGTAGCATACTACTAAGAGAACTTAACTTGTGTAAATTGAGTGATCAAATGTCAATTTAAGGCAAACGCACATGTCGCACTAGCCACTCCAAGATTGAAACCATGAATGCTTGATTTTTTTTTCCCTAGAAGTTTTTAACACAGTTTTAAAAAGTTTAAATACCTAATTTACAACTGGACAGCCCCTCTCATTGATTTAGGACAGCTCTGTAGTATAAGGGAAACAGAACACACAGAGATAGCAAGTCCCTGGTTTAGTTAAGTCAGTGAGAAGAAGATCTCCACAGAAACCTTCTCAGAGCCTTTATGAAAAGGGTCACATGATACTGTGTATTTATACACATTAGACAGATTACTGAACAAGATAGATAAACAGATTGGTTCACTGCGTGACAGCTAGTAAGGCTGAAAGAAAAGCACTGGTGTTTCTTAGGTTCAGTACCTTAAAACCTTCTAACTGATGCCCCAGAAAGCAGAGCTACACAAAGCAAAATGTCTAAAACTGAACTGCAGTGTTGTAGTCAGGCATCAGGTTAAAGCCCTGAGCTTAATAAAGTGCACTTCAATGAAAGTGAATGCACAGTGGAATTAACAAAAAAAAGCCGACATTTATACTCTGTCAAGAAACTTCACCTCAAAATCGTAATGCAGAGATAAAAGAATGTTCTATCCATCTTAATATGGTAAACGTTCACTTTTCTGCTTGGCTAAGTGATTGCAAAAGCAGCACTAATCAACACACGAGATGGATTAGCTCACGGCACTCCAGAAAAGGAAATGGGATAATGATATTTAATAGGGTAAACAAACTACAAGCTAACACTGAAACATGAATTGCTTTTCACTTATTGCAGTTGGTTCACTTATCTTCCTGGGAAAACTCCAGGATGGGTAGGTCACAGAAGTAGTGCAGATTAACTGAAAAAGCATTAACCACGAGAAATCAACTGACCAAAATAGCTCCACTGGCAGTATACTGGGTAGTGCAAGAATACATGCAGAATTACTTTGGATATTCAAGTGTTAGTAATTAATCAGCTAAAATATATCGGATGTTCTAAAGAATTAACTAGATTCCTTACCAAAATATTCAAACCCCTAAGAATCTCAACTGGAGGAAAAAAGCAACAATTTTCGTAATGGTGATGTTTATAAATTTCCAGTGTCAACCTGAAATGCTGCTTTCATTAGCATTTAAATTAGTGAAAACACTCACCTCTCTGTTACTTCTTCTGCCTCTTTAATATTCGTGTCTCTCTTCTTTAAAGTATCCTGCAGCTCATGCTCGCTAGTAGAGGGCTCTGTGCTGATAACAACTCTGTGCACTTCTCTGAGGTGGCCAAAATACACTTTTGCGTGGCCAAAAACCTTAGCACAGAATTCACAGCACACAAGCTTTTTGGGTTTGCCTTCGTTGTGATGAAGTTTCATATGCGTGCTCAGGCTTCCAGAATGAATATATGCTTTCCGGCAAATGCGACAACTGTAAGGCCGTTTGTTTGTATGTGTGTTCATGTGGTCCTGAAGATGGTGTTTAAACTGGAAGATATGGTCACAAACATGACATTTATGTGATGGCTTCGGTACAGCGGAACATATATTTCTACTTAAATCACCTGATTTAGCTGGTGTAGCATCACTGTGCTTGTAACTGAAGTATTTACTGGGAAGTGAACTATTGAAAAAAATTTCTTGGTCTAAGTGGCCAGAAGGTGGTGTCTCTACGAGTGCTGCAGAAGTCAGTGGTGCAAAAGCCTGCATAACTACCACTGGCTTTGGTCTAATACTACGGTATTTTTTTACTGTCTCTGCTTTTTTATCTTCAGGTGGCTGAAGATCAACTTTTACCCTCTCTCTTCCTTCTCTAAACTTATTAATGATGCATCTCCTCCGCTTGGTCTGAAAGGCCAATAAATCATCTGGGGCTCTTCTTTTCCTGCCTCTTCTTTTAGAGGCTGGACTGTTCAATTTTTTAAGACTGTCAACATCCACTTTGTTGGAGGAACAGAAGGTATTTTCTCGAATGGTTTGTTTGGGGACTTGTGTAAATGATACAGCTAATTGCTTATCAGATGCTTTGGTAGGAACATGAAAGGTTTTTGCCGAAGTTGGTGTCTTTTCACATTCAGGTCTTAGCGAAGGACTAGATGCATCCGTAATGTTAGCATTCTGCTTAGATTCACAGAACACTGAATTTTTCATCCTTGAGTAAGGCAAAATAGGAAGTTTTCCTTTTGGTGCTGATGGAGTCATCTGTATTGTGCTGCCAAAAACTGCTGGTGACAGGACAGCAACAGAATTTGCAGAATTTGTGGATTTTTCCTTTAGTTTCTCAGACGTTATAAATGACTCTCCTGTTGTTTCAGATGCTGTCTTCAAAGAGCGTAGACTTAGCTTCATGGAATTAAATGTACTTGCTGTCTTGGATAAAGAGTCTTTAACTACAGATGGGCCAGAAACATTACTGTTATGATTTCTAGTTTTGTCCACTAAAGAAGATCCAGATTCCACACAATTGCTTTTATTTACTAGCGTGAAAACCGTAATTTCAGTTGAGTCATGGTCTGTCATCATCACTTGCTTAGCTGAATCTGAACTAGAATGAGTTTCAGGAAGGTCTTCAGTTACAGTAGTCATTGGGGAAGTCTGTGATGAGATCAGTTCTTTGGCAGGAATCTTGTTATGTGCACCCAAATCAGATACTTGTGTCGTTTTTTTGTCACTCAGTAACTTATTTCTTACAGATTGGTACCTAGGGATAGGCAGCTTTAAGTTTTCAGAAGGGGCCATGTTTGACTGGTGGACTTGCTGCGTTAGGGCAGGGGCAACATAAGGCAAGGCCAGAAGAGAAAAAGTCCCTTCATGACCAGCCACCTGCATGACAGCATAGTTTTGAGTTGGTACCACCAGCGTTTTAGGACCTGTTGCTGAAATTGGTGTATTTTGCTCAGGCAAAGATGACTGAAGACAAGAAACCACTCCAGATGTTAGAATTTTTGGTACCATTTTTGGAGCAATGGTCCTAAACTGACTTTTCTTCTGGAAGCTTTGTATTATATCTGAAGGGGATTTGTGTTTATCTGTAAAATAAAATAACAAAGATGTAATATAATGTACAGTATTTCTTTAAAAAAACCTACTGTATAGAAAATAAAACTGCTCGCAAAGGATACTATTATATGCAAACTTACTAAAATATTTAAGTATTTAAATTACACTACATTAGGTTTTGAATTGCAGAAGTTTCATGGGCAAAACAAAAATACTCCCTGAAGTAATGTACTTGAATATAGATACGCCAAACCCTTCCCTCTTAATCTAATCTTAAATGAATGTTTTAGTCTAGGTTAGAAACTACATGACATTTCAAGATTAATACACTTCTGCCCAGAAAAGCTGCACTAGCATGCTGGCAATATTCATCTAGAAGAACCAACAGGGACAGGATTTAAACTCGACGATGCAGAACTTTTTTGAGCACCTGTTCCGATCATATCTCTCAACCAGAGTCATGCTATCTTTCAGAGTTTCTCTTGCATTTAGAATCTGTGGGTTGTAACGGATACAGACAAAAGTTTACCTGATGAAGCTTTAAAAAAATTACCATAAAACTGCAAATAATGTGCAATAAACTCAAAAGAGGACTTGAGAGAAGACGTACCAACGTTAAATACTCACTGACACACACTGCCTATGTGCCTTTAATGCACAATAGAACTACTGTACTAAGTTATTAAAATATTTTCTTGAAAGATGTAATTTACCAAGATTATATCATAGTCTCTTCCTGTTTCTACTTGTGTTGCTAAATGTCACAAACATTTTTAGTAAAGACGTATGTGGGTAAAATCAATTAAAACAAACAAAAGAAAAATTAATTTTAAGAGAAGAATCAAATACATGGAATATGTAAAAGTGAATGTTGGGACCTTGAAATATTGCAGTAAGGTAATTCCATAGAGACATTTCAATTCCTTACCATTTTAAAGCCTTGTTTTACAAATGCAGTTATACACAGCTATGGACTTTAAGAGGTAACTGTGAATTACTACCAACACCAGAAACCAATAAATTTATCTTAATCCTGGATGTTCTCAGACATTGGACATTTTGCAACATGCACTGCAGGTTACGGGGCTCTCGTATTTCATGACCAGAACTCCTGGGCAGACATATGTGCATACTCGTGGTATGCCCATCTGCAGTAAATCCACTGCCTTTGGGACACACTAGATTCACGGAGCAATCACAACTAAATTGTTTGGCTCATACACAGTAGGTCTGACCATATCTCAAAACTCTTTGACCTGCGGCAGGTTCACATCGTAATAACTATTCAGTGCATAAACTCTTTGAACCTTTTATTGCCATCTAGAGCATCAAACCCCAAGTCTGTCATGCACCTTCTCAATCCGCCAATTAAGTGAAACTACTGGTCACTACCGTAACTAACTTTCTGCTCAATGTCTGTGGAGACGTCCAGAATTTCTAGATACTCTGTGCGGACTACGCTACTGTACATAACGAAATCCTGCCCAGATATAAAGAGAGATCCCTATATACAGGGTTAAGTCCAGCCTTACACAGTTTGTCCTACTTGGAAAAGGCAGAAACCTGCTGACTTTAAAATCCTGTTTTCCTACAGCCCTCCAAAAGCTCAGAGTATGTTATATTTCTCACTAAGAACTTCTGGTTTTAACAACATACAATCACCAAGAATATAGAAACCTTTATCTTGTCAACTGCTAAGATTGCTAATACTCAGATTATTTTTTGTTTCCTGCAGGGTTTCTTCTTCTTGATGCTTTTGAGGAAACACTTTTAAGAGTTTTTGAGAAGTATAATAAAATTATGTAAAATACAGTAATCATTAACCAAACCTGCCCTGAACTTTAATGTTAGTTACAGGTCAAATTGTACAGCTTAAATACAGTAGATAACAGAAAAAGTGTATTTTTCTTTTATGGGACAGAGCTTGCTCTTGTTTTTCCAGATCATGCTTGCCATATACTGACATCAAAGACTTTTTCCAAATCAGCAGTTACTTAGCAGCTTGTCACAATACTCAACACGAAGCAGTTTCCATTCTCTCTCACGCTTGGCTTGTACCTCTCCCTTTTTATTTCAAAATCTCACTCACTAATTTGCACAAACTTTTTACAAAAGACAGCAATTCATCAGACTGCTACCTGTGCTAATTTACACTCCAAGTAAGAAGGCATCTGTTCTCCAAACAACAGATGTGAGTTAAGGAAAAGACAGAAGTTTTGCTGTGGACACGCCATCTCTACAGAAGTGCAGGAATGGCAGCCACAAAAAGCAACACAAAGGTTAATCTGAGGTCAGGAGAAAATATCTGTAGAAATAATGCATGACACTAGCTTTAAAAGCAAGCATATGCTTCTCAACACGTTGCCTATTGCAAAATTGGCCAGTAACACCACTTTTCTTTAAAAAAAGTGTCTCCACGCATTTTCTCATCATTCCACACAAAAGCATCATTCTAGAAGACAAGATCTTCATGAACATCAACCACAAAATGCTCTTTGAAACAAGGTCGATTTAGATCAATATCCTTTTTGTACAGTTAACACCATGCCAAGCATTGATATAACTGTTTGAGAAGAGTTTTTTATACAAAATGCTCTTTTTCAACTAGCGTAATTTTATCATAAATACATCTTCCAGGCAAGCTGTGCTTGGTTATCAGCCTTGAGTACAATTTTTTTTTCTTTTTTTCCCCCCAAGTTTACATTAGCCAGTTTAGTGCAGAAACATTCATTGCACTGCCTCTGGTAAGCAAAAGATACTCAAGTCTCTCTTTTGCTCTCATCCAACACAGCTGCTGTAGTTAAGCAGCTTAGCCAGTGTCTAAATATAGAGATGGGCTAGATGCAGACTAGCTGTGTGATCATCCTTCAGACTGGAGTAAGATCTTGCTTATGGACTGGGAAAGCTAATTGGAAGAACTGGTGGAAGACTATTTAGCATCTTGGATCAGGAAAAAGCAGCCAGTCAAGTCAGAGACCGGAGGCCCTGCTGACCCCACCCAGAGCATACAATATCAGTGGTGACCAAAATAATTTTCTTCCATTTATACTTGGCAAAAAGTTTCAACAATTTCCTTCATACACAGAGTTGACTACAGCAATTCATAAAATATATGAATTTATGCCATCCTGACACTGAAGGACTTAGCTATGTTTTGGCTGTCTAGCTACCAAAAGGCCACTTGGAAAGTTACTGTGCGTCTTCCAGGGATGTTCCACTTCTATTCCATACCTTTTTCCAAATTATTTCTGTCTCGGATTCAAAGGACTCATTTTGACTCGTCAGTTGTGACCTAAGGAAAAGCCTTCATGTCTATGCAAACTCACAAAGTCTTGCATCTGAGAAGGGGAATTTTCAGTTAAGGGAGGATATGCAACGGCATTGGGGGGATGACCCTTGGTTTTAGACAACATTCTTTCCATAAGTCAGTCTACAGGTCCTTCATTGGAAGACAACAATTTTGATATTTTGTCTAAAATTTTCATTAAGAATAAAGGAAATGAACGAAAACATTAGATTTAATAGCTGAACTATGTGAAGCTCATTTTTAACTGCGGAGTTTTTTGTTTTTCAAATAAGCATGGAGTTGGGGCAACAGGAAGACACTTTTAAAAAACGAAGCACAAGGTTAAATCCAATGCAATTTAATCTCTACTTTCAAAGTCTCTGTTAAAAGATTAATGTTTACCGTGCTCGTACCTGCAAGTATCAAATCATTCAGAAACTTGCGGGATGTCATAAACTTTCACCCCTTCTAAATAACCTTTAAGTTATAGGAGTGGTCAGTGATAAATGAATAAAAATAAATAAATAGTCAACGATGCATTGAAGACTCTGGTACAGCTGTGCTGGGAAGAGTAAGAAAATCTTCCACGGGGCTCCTGCTCATTCATAGTTTCCCTTCCTTCCTTCCTTCCTAAGTCCTTCAAGTCTGGTCTACTCTGGTCTGTTCTGCCTGCTTGTACCTCTTTCAATTTCTTCTTCATCTAAAGCACGTAACGTTGCTGAACTCGGACACTGTAGAAAGCATCAGAAATCTAATCTCGTCTATCTAGAACATTAAAATAAGCAATCAAAATGCTAGAAACCACTGTGTAGTAGTGTTATTTTTTCTTAATAATCCTTGTAGGACCTCACTTGTGTACTTAATTCGTGTATGCTCGGACAAGTGACAGAAAAAAAAAACACAAGAAGGATCATCTTGTTTTGAAGGGTGAGCCAGAATACAGATGAAAGAGATCAATGAAATATTTTATTAAATGAATGTTTACATTGCTGAGTCTTTTGCTCATTATGACAGGAAGAATATCTGTTCTATAGAAAGAAAAAAAAGCACAACTTTCTAACAGACAATACCAGATTTATTTCAGTCAAAGATAGCTAATCATTCATTTTGCCAAATCTCCATACACATGAAGTACCTCCGGATACTGTCCTTCCAGCACAAGTTTCTTGTTTTTGCTGACCCAGCATACTTGTTGGACACAATGTTTCTCTGCAGGATTAGCATGCAAAAAAACACCACCTGCAAAAGTGCTTCAGTCAGTTATAAATAGATCCCAGGACCAAAAAAAAAAAAAGGGCAAAAAAAAAAAGCCCAAACCATCCCAAAACCCAACAAAAACCCAGGAAAAGACAATATAAAATGCCAATATAAAACATTAACTTTCAGTTAATGCATTAAGAAAGCTACTGCTTCTTACTCTGCCATTTTTCTCTCCCCCAAAAATGTTTTTAAAGCTAATATATTACATGACAAATGTGAGGTGATAGCTTCATAATTGAGTAAAGCTGGTTAATGTGGTAAACAGATGGGATGCCTTAGCTTCAGTGCCATGGCAGACAGTCAACAGCACCAAAACGAAAAGCTCAGAAAAAGGAAAGTTAGGCTTTTAAATATAAGGGCTAGGTTCTATGCTGATTTACACTTTCTGTAATCCCACATAAATCAATGGAACTGCAGATAATCTAGAAAATAGAGCATGGCCTTCTACACTCAAAACTAGCTTTGCCACACACCTGTAATAAGTAAAGGTGGTAATAAAGCCTAGAAATTAAGAGATTCCAAATCTATACATTATAAGAATCAATTTACAGTTGTTTTTATCTTGGCCTAGTAATAACTACTTGGGTGAAATATTCTGTTCTGGGTATCTACCTCAGATAATTCTCTAAAATTAGCTTCAACAGGAAATGTCAGATATCCTCAGGTATGTCTGCATTTAAAAACAAAACCAAAACAAAACAACAAATTTGGAAACACACCTGCACATTAGATGAAGACCTTGGTACCTGACACAGCAATATCTCTTTTGTCTGTGAAAAGTTGCCCAAATTAGGCAAAGTGGTACACTCTTGGCATATGTTCAGTAGATACTTTAAGCAGCTAATTCTTCCAATGATTACATTCTAGTGAGTCTGCTCTTGCTGCACACTGGGCTGGATTTTTCCTAAAATTATAGCTTTAGGTCCAAACACCCAAGTTGGTACAAGGAAAAGACATCTCCTTATTTCAACTGCTGAGCTGACAGTGTCGAAGAGAAACTAGGAATATATAATATATAGGGAAACCAGGACAAGGACGAGAGAACTAGAAATGAGATTTGAGAAATGTCTAGGCTGAAAAGTCAGTGTGGGATATGGGAATTAAACGCAGATTTAGGACAGGTAACAAAAATTACTACTACATGTGATTTGGAAAAGAGAATCATTCCACCTTAAAATTCCTAGCAATATTTTTCAGTGTAGCAATAAACTATTAACTATTTTTGGCACAGACAGTCATTCTGGAGAGATAACTCACACAGTAATCCAAGATCATGGGTACATAGTTCATATTTAGGAAAGTTCTTCAGTACCTGTCCAATTAAATTGGTTTTGTTGGGTTTTTTTGTTTTTTCTTCTTTTCTTTGATAGATTTTCCCCCCCAAAAAATCTTTGTTGCACTATCAATCATGTATTTCTGAAGTAACTGCCTGATGTGGTTGCTAAGAGACTCTATCATATTTGAAAAGTCAGGGCAGTTACATAACATACCTAGGGACTGGAATAAGGGAAACATGACACCCATTTTTAAAAAGGCTAGAAAGGAACCCAGGAACTACCGACCAGTCAGCCTCACCTCCATGCCTGGAAAGGTCATGGAACAGATCCTCCTAGAAGCTCTGCTAAGGCATGTGGAGGACAGGGAGGTGATTCAAAACAGTCAGCATTGCTCTACTAAGGGCAAATCCTGCCTCACCAACCTAGTGGCTTTCTGCGATGGAGTGACTCCATCAGTGGAGAAGGAAAGAGCAATGGATGTCATCTATCTTGACTTCTGCAAGGCCTCTGACACAGTCCCCCACAAAACCCTTCTCTCCTAATTGGAAAAATATGGATTTGATGGGTGGACTCTTTGGTGGATAAGGAATTGGCTGGATGGTCACACCCAGAGCGTAGTGGTCAATGGCTTGATGTCCAGATGGAGACGGGTGATGTGTCCCTCAGTGCCGTCTAGTACTTCATCAATGACACAGACAGTGAGATTCAATGCACCCTTGGCAAGTTTTCAGGTAACACCAAGCTGAGTGGTGCAGTCAACATGCCAGAGGGGCTGGATGTCACCCAGGGGGTTGTCTTTTTTAAACATTCTTTTTTCAATGAATTTAAAATATATTTAACAGCAGATCCACATGTTTTCTTAACATCTCTCATACAGTGTTTGTGAACTTTAAGAGCTTTCATTTTTTTTGAATGGAAAAGTTATAAGCTACTCATTTCATGATAAGGTTGTCATAACTATTAGATTTTAAGCAGATTAAAATATTTTCATATCAAGAACTGAAAACTGACATAAACAGATTTAGACATAAAGCATCTGTAATTATTAGGCTGGATGTGGCACTCAGTGCCATAGTCTAGCCAATGTGATGGTGTTGGGTCATAGGCTGGACTCGATCTCAGAGGTCTTTTCCAGCCTCAACAATTCTGTGATTCTGTGACTAGCAACTTTTTCCACCTTTACAGCCAAATATATGACACACAGATTTTTCTTGCTATGCCTATATGAGAACTTAGTCATCGGGTTTATGCAGATAAATCTATGGGTTCAAGATGGTGTCTAGCCTCTGCAACCACACATATCACTATTAAAGATGAAAACACTGGTTCTTTTATGAAGCAGGAACTTCTGTCCAGGAGAGACTGTTAGATACATCATCAAAGACTGTGTTTCAGCTTCTGTATGGCTCTACTGCTTTCAGCAACCATTCATGTCAAACTTCAAGTGGGCATTATCTAGAAACCATGCTGCTGCGACATGACTCAGTTGAGTAGAATAGAAATTATTCTGGTATCCCTGCAAATCTGGTGGTTTACCTTTGTCAGTTTTGCCCAGTCATTCTGTTCCATAGAGAATACCATACCTGGAGACTTGCAAAGTAAGGCTTCAGTGACAGAGCCAGTCCACGAAGCCAGTTAGTGACAGTCCCTGAAGTGGAACTAACTGTTCAGAAAATAGCTGAAGGAAAGTGATGGAAGCACTGGTCATAAACCCATAATTCACAAATCCTCAACAGCATTGCAAATATAAATTCAGTACTTTAGAAGATGGGAATAACAGGAGATTCAAAAGAAGAGGTTGTAAATGAGCTTTTAAAAATTATTTTCTGGGAGAAGTGCCAGTTGAAATTTCTGTTCGCAAAAGAAAAATACAGACCTAAACAATAATTAATTACTTAAAAGTCAATGTCAAGTCCTTTTTAAAAGGTGAATCAAGGTCACATCAACTTGGACAAAGGCCTGATATGCCTAATCTAAGTGGTAATTAACAGACTTACTTTTTCCTTAAGTACAGGAAACAATAATCACCAGATCTACTACAAAAATGAAGGCAGAATTCTTCAGGAACTATGGGGCACCAAAAGGTCAAGTAGAACCATTTTATGAATAAATCATGAAAAATTTTCTGACTAGACTCTTGCTCCCCTTTCAAACAAGTTGACAATAGAATCTATCTTCATCTTACTGAGAGTTCAACCCTCCTCCCTTCCCTCCATGGGACTGAAAACACGTGTGTCTGACTGCAGTAAGGATATTAGGCCTCTTACTCCCAAACTTTTTTTTTTTTCAAATACTGATGTGCAAATAGATAGCACAACAGAAGACCAAAATTTTTATTCATTTTATATTTCTAAGCACTTCTTTCTGAAAAGAGCCTATATGCAAGGGAAAACAACTAATTCACCACTTCGGTTCAAAAGAAGTATAAAAAACCCCATCTGTATAGTGACTTCTGTACTACAAATCCCAGAAAATGCTCCCTCATTAAAGACAGGGAAGTGAGAGACTGTCGGTCTTCACAGAATCACAGAACAGCTTGAGGCGGAAGGGATCTTAAAGATCATCTAGTTCCACGCCCCTGCCATGGGCAGGGACACCTCCCTCTAGATGAGGTTGCTCAAAGTCTCATCCAGCCTGGCCTTGAACACTTCCAGGGAGCGAGTGTTCACAGCTTCCCTAGGCAACCTGTTCCAGTGTTGTTCCAGTGTCTCACCTTCTTCCTAGCGTCTAATCTAAATCTACCCTGCTTCAGTTTAAAACTGCTGCCCCTCATCCTATCACCACATGCCCTTGTAAGTAGTCCCTCTAGATCTTTCCTGTAGTTCCCTACAGGTACTGGCAGGCTGCTCTCCCTGGAGCCTCATCTTCTCCAGGCTGAACAATCCCAGCTCTCTCAGTCTGTCCTCGTAGGAGAAGTGCTCCAGCCCCCTGATCATCTTCATGGCCCTTCTCTGAGCCCACTCCAACAGGTCCATGTCCTTCTTGTGTTGGGGGCTCCAGAGCTGGACACACTATTCCAAGTGGAGTCTCACAAGAGCAGAGGGAGAGAATCGCCTCCCTTGACCTGCCAGCCATGCTTCTTTTGATGCAGCCCAGGACACAGTTGACCTTTTGGTCTGCCAGCACACACTGCCAGCTCCTGTTGAGCACCTCATCAGCCAGGACCTCCCAAGTCCTTCTCTGCAGGGCTGCTCTCAATCCACTTGTAGGCATTTGTTGTTCTTGGGATTGCCCTGACTCAGGTGCAGGACCTTGCACTTGCCTTGCTGAACTTCATGACGTTGGCACGTGCCCACTTCTCAAGCTTGTCATACCAGTGTGTTGACCGCACCACATTGGCAAACTTGCTGAGGATGCACTAGACCCCACATCAGTGACAAAGATGTTAAATAGCACCAATCCCTGAGGAATACAGAATCACAGAACGTCAGGGGTTGGAAGGGACCTTGAAAGATCATCTAGTCCAACTCCCTTGTGAGAGCAGAATCACCTACAGTAGGTCACACGATAAATGGTTTTGAAAACATGGCTCCTTCTCCCAGTGCTTTTCTGGTCACACACTTAATGAAGTCACCCCTTCGCCACTCTTTGACTACCACTCGTCACAGGTCTCCAGCTGGACACTAGCCACTGATGGCAACTCTTTGAGAGTGGCCATCTATCCAATTCCTGGCCTGGCCTATTTTGAGACTTCCAATATTAGCTATACCAGGATTTATCATTCCTCAAGGAAAGGGCCAGAACACACTGTTAAACTTAGATGACAGCTGGAGAGTACTTTCTGAGTGATTTTGTAAATAGTTCATTTCTTTTGAAAATGATCTAAGTGATCTAACTTTTGAATGGGGAATCTCTACCCAGTTTTGCCTTTTTTGTTTCATTTGTTTGTTTGTTTGTTTGCTATAGCTTTGCTCCCTTTTTTATCTTTATGACCCAAGTTTCTTCAGAAAAGGACTTGACAGCTCTGGCTGTGTTGTGCATAGGAAAACTAAAATATCTTCAGAAGGATTACAGTCCTGGCTAGGAAGACATTAGTTTTCAGAACATATAAAATTATCACTTGCTGCTGAAACTGAAACACAGCTAGGCCTTTCTAGCAGTAGGATGTAGCAGAAAATAATCTAAATTACAGTATCTGGATGTTTTTCTTCCCGCTGTGCATAACTATAATGATTTGCAATGCTTACTGGTGTCGCTACCCTTGCCCAAGTTAGCCACTGTATTGTTTAAAGGCAGCACTCGTTCTCAAAAGAAGGTACTGGATGCGCTGTAAAGGAATTCATAGAATCATAGAATGTGTTGGACTGAGTGGACACACTGCCGCTAAGTGATAACATATCAGTAAACACTTCTAAGGGTGCCAGCATACAAGGGAATTAAACCAGGAATGCGCTCAACAGCAACGAAGGCCGAAGATGACATCCTTAACTTGCCATGTGCCAAAATATGAGGACATTTCTAATTAAACTCACGTGTATCTCGTCGTGTGCTGCCAGACAAAGGAGCCCCTTGGCGCAGAGTCCAGCAGGGGGAGTCGGGCGCCCGTCACCGCTGCCTCTGGCCACGGCGGCGCAGCCCCCTCCCTCTGCTCAGTGACAGCTCAGTTTAGAGGCTGCGACTCACACCGCTGCCCTACCGCAAGTTTTGAACAACAGAAAGGTTAAACTACTTGTTTTTGTTGCAACGCGAAAAATTCCCAAAGTCGTGAAACCTTTTACAGCACCGCACACAACTTCATGACGAGTTACGTTGTTATTTCAGAATACTCCACCTTCGCAAACTTTTCACTCAATTCAACATTTTGTATAGCTCCAGAACGTCTTGATGTAAAGCAGATGAGCCCTCCTGTTAAAAGTAATTACTTCTATTAAACTACTTCGTATCTGTAACTGCAGCACAATTTTTACATGAGAGAGTTTTTCTTTAAAAAAATCCTGTTCCGATTTTGTGTTAATCTAGTTGATGCCCCAAATAACACATCCCCGCTACTAAAACCATCAGTATTTAAAACAGATGTTCTTTGGTCGACATCTGAAAGCGTAACCCTGTTACCAACATATTTTCCCATCCCAAGCAATACCTCGAAATCTTTGTCAAACTTTTCTTGCTTTCATCGTTGCTCAGCTCATCACACAAACCATCTGCATAAATAAAGATGTAAGCATCTGCTGTATGGCGAATGGTCTCAGGGGCAGATGTTTTTATCCTTGCATTCATGTCACTGGCTTGGATACATTATTTGAACAGATGTACACAATCTGAAAGTGTCGTGTCCCACAGTGAAATGTCTCCAACTGCTTTCTATCAAAGTACATAAATGCTATTTGCACCTGCATTTATGTTAATGATATGAAGGCAGCAGGGGTTCCAACAAAGTGAAAGCTTATGCTAAGAAATTTATTTACATGGCTAATTGAAGTCTGAGATCTCCCAGAACCATATGACCATACTAACATAGATACAAAATATACTAACTATGCAATGACTTTTAAAAAATACTACATGATTTAATTTTTAAAAATTAAAATAAACATACTTCAGGAGCAAAACTATGATTTCAGCTTGTGACACACTTTTCCAATGTATCCTTAAAGTAGACAAAAAAGTACAAAATATACTCCCAGATAAACCAGGACAGCCTTATATTTTGGACAGTAATTGTGCAAGAAACACAATTACTTCACTTTACAGTCATTTAACAAAAATATTCTACAAATCTGACAATGCCAAAGGCATTTCTGTTCTCTAAGGAACATTAGTATTTTATGTCACTATGGAGCACTATAAAAAACCCCAGCACTTTCACAATAGCAAATATTAACATGAGTGTGAATGATGGAATAAGATACTTCAATGATAATTTCAGAATTACTAGGAAAATATTAGAAGTTAAATATTTATCATGATTCAGAAAAGTGCATCTGCTTGAACATGGAGTTACAATTGCTTGTTATATAATCATATTTCTTAAAATATTTTAAAAATACAGATGCCCTGAAGGAGTATAATCAACTTACAGGACTCCTGCTATTACAAGACAAATGGTCACAGTGAAGGGTTTATGTTGTCACTCAAAGAACTTGCACTAACCATCACTTCCACACTCAGCTGAAAAATAACAAGCACTTTGAAAGTACAGAAAGACTAACAAAATCCTATACTGAACATAACTGATGGATAGGTACTACTTCCAATATCATTTATTTTCATAACCTTTTATTTGTAGGAAATGTATCAATGTTATAGTTGTACATAAATCATTACAAATTATTGATGTCCTCAACATGTGTCGCAACACATTTAAGAAACAAAAGCAATGCTTTACATGAGGACAAAAAAGAGTGATAGTAAAAGAATACAAAAAATATACTGAGACTAGTACATTTGTAGAATATGATTTCACACTGATATAGCTCTTGGTCAGGATCTGGTTATAATTTCTAATATGAACACTCACTTCTAAAGTTTACAACATAGCTCTTACAATTCTCTCTGGGTTTAAGTTGATAACAGGATACTGACTGGATTGTGATTTTTTTAGGAAAAACATAACTTAAAATCTGAAAGTAAATGATTCATCAAATCCGTAAATAGCTCCACAGCCTATATACTCCTCCTGTTATTCAGAAACAACTTTAACATAAAGACAACACATTCAACCTGATAACAACATAGTGGTTGTAGCCAAGTGACCACTTGGCAAGTGGTCAAATTCCTGTTATTTAAAGGAAAAATTAAATTAAGGCTTTTCAGTATCAGAATTAAGTATTTTGGACATAAGCATATGGATGCAGAGCAACCCGCAGAGAGGACAGCTATACACAACAGTAAGTACCGGCTCCCTTGAAAGACTAAGTCCCATTAGACACAGAACTCATCAACTAAGATCAATTTGCCTGACAACCTTCTCGAAGAGCTTCCTCAGAATTATTACTGTATCATAAAAATAGTCAGTCTTCACAAAACAGGTAAAGTATAAACTTAAATGACAGTAAAAGCTCAAGGTTTCAAGTTTAAGTAATATATAGTGCTTTTCTTAGTTAACATAAGTACTAACAAAGGAAACTTAACTGACAAGCCGCAACAGTTCTGAAAGGTCCATTAGAGCTTATGTCATATCCGTCAAACATTCAGTCACGTTCAAGAAGTGTCATTAAAACTGACATTCAAGTTAAAAATCATATTTAAACATCAGCATTGTGACACAGATCAAAAGGAAAGGGAACTGACGTTACGGCTGCACATTTAGAAGCTTGGGAATACACAGTTGCAGCTTAAATACCCTCACTACTAACGGAGAGAAAAATTCAAGCCTAACCCTTCTGAAACCGAAATCAAAAAAGATGACTTCTAAAGAGACAAAACACAGATGAAACATAGTTCAGCACAAAAAATATTAGTAAAGACAGAAACACTGGAGAAAAGACACTTAAAATCTAAAAATTAAGTTTATATATAGAAAATATTTATTTTCTTGTTTGTGCTAGTCTTGTAGCATAACTTGCATTTTCAAATATACGAGGATGAAAAATTGTCATAAACCTGAACAATTAATTCTGTTGAATCAAACAAGAAGCAGATCTATATACTTCAATTTTCAACTACAAGTAGTAACAGTAATTAGAAATATCTTAAAAAAGAAAACAATCTTAGCTATTGCAATTGTTTATGCAGTAGTGTAACGGCTTCTCTCTTTTTTTTTTTTAAACCAGATTAGGGAAGAATTGTAGATGTAATCTATACAGTGATTTTTTTAATGATGATGATGTTTCTTCCACATTTTGAACTACAAGCATCTAATTTCTCAGAAAAAGTATAGAAAGTATACTATACCTGCAGAAAAAGTTAAAGGATTCTGCATTATGTCCTTTAATAGTTATGACAATGTTCCTGGAAAGAAGAAATAGAGATACTTAGAAGTTCTGGTAATTTTCCATAAGCATTAAAAAAAAAAGGAGAATGGCAATAATTTTCAAAAATTCTATTTCAGAATGGATTTCAGTATGCCCATATAATTGACTATGAAGCAGAACTTCCATGAATGTTCCAACGAAGATAGTAGCTTGCATTTGTGAAGCAAACATTGCACCATCATCTCTCCTGAATTTGATGTCGGTACTTATCACAGAATTTCATGCATGATGTTTTGACATAAAGTAACATTACATCAAGTGGCCACCCAGTAACTTAGGAGTTAGATATTTCTTCCCACTTTGGTCAAGTGTGAATCAGCAGTTGAGACAGACAGACATGGTATACTAAAATGAAATCATAAAATTGTGTTATTATCCATTTAATTTTTTGTTATCACAAAAATGGTCTAGCTTCTGGAATGGTTGCATAATAGTTCAATTTGTCTTATTACCACTAACATGCTAAAAGTCACGCAGGGTATAAAACACTTGTTCTCCTGACGGAGCTTGACGCTTTGGGAAGATAACAGACAAGTCCAGTGACTTGGATGGAACTCCAACTACTAGGGGGGTTTACTTGGTTCTAGACCTTCTTACCAATGCATATATTTAACATTTCCCATGAGCAGAGCCAGTTGTGCAGATGTGGAGTTTGCTTGCTCCCCTGGCAAATTTAACAGTTGGTAGAATTTTACATAAAGAACATTCCATTCAAGAGCCCCCTTCCGAGCACATGAAGTACAAAAAGATTGGGTTTGGATCAATACAGAAATAGTTCAGACAAATTCTGACGCAATTACCAAACACAAAAGTAAGTCTCGAATATGTACAGACAGGTTCCAGAAGGGAGATGGTTCTGGGGGCAGCAAGGAAGTACAGAAGAGGCAAAACCAATTTGATTTCCAGGAAGCTCAATGCTGAAGCATCAAAGAAAACCAAGTGTGGCTGCTGTGAGGAGAACTCTCACACAGCAGACAAGTGAGGCTCTTTGGTACCTGTATCTCCTGTGCTGGCACATATGCAATAAGGAGCTCCTGTATGTCAACCTGCAGCTCCTGGCACAGGTTTGCCGACGCGGATCGGCAGATGCCGAGCTGTCTCCAGGAGCCTCTGTCCGTGGTACTTAAGCAGCCCAGCCCTGACCGGTGGGACCCCGCCCACAAGTCAGCCCACCTACGGGGAGTTTCACACCCTGGTAACATACAGGCAACTCCCTCATAACCTACATGAATGGAACGGGCCACGTTGATGTAATTTTGGAATGGCAAAATACTCCTAGTACTAGTGTGGATTTTCTCAAAAAATTTTGATGGTCTCAAAATTACCATTCTGAAGTCACAGTTCTTCATGGTCCCTCCCAGTCACAGGGAGCATTAAATCATTTAAAAGGGTACCCCACTTACAGTTATTACTTCCTCTTAGACTTCAGGATACAGGTCAATGATTCTTAGAATACAAGGTGGAAACACAAGATCCACATCTTCTAAGCAGTCACAAACTGCAACACTGGGACATAAAATTGGACCATACAACTTCAAACGTTTTGTACAGGCATCTGATTTGAATTCAGTTCTAACTGCAGTAAGATAATGGTCTTGATCTACAAAGTCCAGGGTTTATTTGAAGGACTATTACACAGATCAGCTACTGTCAATAATAATAAAAAAAAATTCTCAATTTAACTTTTCATCTTCTAGCCATTCATAAACATTTTTTTTAATTGTTGTTAATATTGAAGAACCTTTCACGGCCCTTTACTTATGCAGATACTTAATCAAGTAAACTTGCTTTTTGGAAGAACTGAACAGCTCAACAGGTTATTTAGTATCTACATATATTTACGCTTATGATATGCATCAAGCTGTAGTCTTATAAAAAAGTTCTCAAATTCTGAATCAATGAAGAGTATAGAAGTTGAAAGATCTCATTTAAACTCTATTTCCTGACCTTAAAGGGTTGGGCTAAATGATTCTTGAGGTCCCTTCCAACCCAGTAATCTAGGATTCTACGACAGAACACCTATACAGCTACCTACAACTGCGCACAGCAGAGCCGATTTTTTTTTTCATTTGACTATAAAGCTGTCATGACATGACTACTTCGCATGTTGATGTTCAAAAAAGAGCCACTTTAGAAACAAAATTATTTCACTAAATTTTGTCCCTCTTCTACACTCTTATGCCAAAACAAATTTTTGGTTGGACACCACAAATAATTCAGGATGTCCTGTTGTTTGAATTGAATACTAAGGAGGCAAACATTCTTACAGTCTTCCTTGGTTATATTTGAGTCCAACAATGGTTCTTTCCAAATACAGAAGATTATATTGATTATTTCTATCTGGCATTATCATCATTTTTTCTGCACCTGGGAGCCTATCCCATTGCTAAAATTTTTAAAATTTGATACAGAGGGTTTTATAATCCCTATATTCTAATTTATATTCTTCATATTTATATATTTATATATTTAAGATTTATATAATCTTAAAATCTGTTTTGTTCAGAAAATCATTCAAGTTCTTCAGAGCTCAAAATAGTTCTCCTGAAATTTGCTGCAAAGAATTTCAAGTGAAGTGGAGCTGAAGTCAGACAGAATTAAAAAGTAAAATTTGTATTAATGCCACAAAATCATGCCTATACTACCCCTTATGTTACCACAGAATGGAAGGAGAAACGAATTTTCAACCAGAAGAAACAAAAATATCAAACAAACTGGAAGAAAAATACAGTGTAAACCAATGTTTAACAATCAAAGGAAGCAGAACATATATATGCAATAATTTAAAAGCAATTTTCACAGAAAGATACCCACAGGTCTTGTATATGAAATTAGCGTCCTGATAGACAGACAGAATCTGAATATCAGGTGAATCCAATTAACCTAATTTGATGCTTGTCCATACTAAGACATTTATTTTAGATGTTACACAAAATCTTCCAGGATACTACATGGAAAATGATAAATAGGCTGTAAAGGTTATGACATTAATTTTACTGTCATTCTCGTGCTTTAAGCAGGCATCAAAACTAAAAATCCCATCCTCTGGGAAGGAGAACTATCTGAAAGTAATTATAGTGCTCATTATCATAACAGTATTAAACTAAACGACTATGACCCTAACTGAATTTATTTTTGGTACCTTTTGTTAAAAGAACAAAGCTTCTCAATGATGACTGCACCTTCTAATGCAGGGAATATTAGTTCAGGTTCTGAAAGAAAGCATTAAATCAAATCTTATAATTTCATATTAAGGTTAATTATGAACTTCCATTTAAAATTGGGCATGTAAAGAAGCATTAGTTAAATATTATTATGTAATTTCATTTCTGAAGGAAAACATTTAGCTAAAAAGAAAATTAAATGCTTAGTACAGCTTAGAAAAGATGTTCTTCTAACAGAAGCACATGAAATATCAATTTATATTTCAAAAGCAATTTTATTCACTTGATTTTTCACACCTGTTCTTTCACATACTGTGCCATTTTGTAAATGATGGTGCCATGGAATCATTATTTCCCCAAATCCAGAATTTTTCAACAGAGACCAAGTTCTCCCAAAAGTATGAATTCATCATATCAGCGTAACTTCCTGCAAACCCTGCAAAGTACATCTGCCACTTAAAGGCTGAGTTAGACTTGAAATAAATCATTAAAACATTGAAGCTACGCAAAAATACTGAGGAAGGTAAAAATGACAGACATCAAGATTGACTCGCCTAACACACAAAAGCATTTGTTCAAGCCAGCATATTTGCCAGAACCTGCAGTGCTTGGCTACTTTATAAAATCAAGCACAAGGCATTAAGCCAATTTGTTTAAAAACAAAAAAATCCTCCAAAACCCCAAAGACCAATAACCAAGCAACAGTTGATTTGCATATCTGAAAACCTGCAAAAATATTCTGCATTTCACTACCCAAATCTTCGGTCACAGAAGTCGAATTTATTCTTCCTCAAAATTCTCAGTTTAAATCCTATTTTCACACTAGGATTTCATCCGACATCAGTAGATCCTCATCCTCCTACTGTATATTTGAAGAGATGCACATGTAGACACAAACAACAGCTTTCTTAAAAAAGAAATTACACACTGCTTATGCTTCCATACTTAGGTAGTTAATCAGGGAGAAATGTGTGTCCATGGCAGAATTCTTTTTGGCTGAGCCCATTAGGTGACTTCAGCAGACAGCCAGAAAGAAACGGAAGCCTCATTGCAACTGGTTACTTTTTCCAGCACAAAGCCAGCAGAACCTAAAAATCAGGCTATTTTTAAATTTTTGGTCATCCTATGAGATGGACCAGTCCGAGCGTGTTCCCTGAACTTCGAGCCTTACATGCGCTGAATGCCACAGTGGCAAGCCTGGACAAAAATTCTTCCCTTCATACTCCGTCAGGTGAGGTACGGAATGGTTGGCTGGCAAGGGCTGTGCGATGCCCATCTGTCAGGGTGGAACTGTGCCTACATGGCAGGTTCTATGCTACTTTCCATAATATGCTGCTGATAATAAAAGCTTATTTAGGAAAGGACACAGGGCAACTTCAACAATAAAAAACAAATGAGAAGTGTTTGCTTTTATTGAGGAGATGAATCCTTTGAAATCAACTTCTAAGTTTCTCCAATTGTATGAATAAAGACTAGCACATACACTGCAAGAAATGAGGATGTTCCATACATTTTCTACTATTGCAGGCAGCCCAGCATACAATTTTGGTAATTCGTATTTTACAACTATAACTATCTCCAAGAGAGCAAATTCATGGGCCTGCAAAAAAATCATTAGAATTCTCAAAAGGACACTTGGGAGAAGAGAAGGCTAAAGAAGGAGCAATATTGAATCTTCATTTTATGAAGTGTATTAAATAAATTGTAGTTGAGCAGTTTTTATGACTGTAAATAAACCCAACTATTTTCCAATTGAGAAAACAACTCAATTCTTAAAAAACTGG